GCCACAAGGCCACATCAAAGAAGCACACCAGCCTATGTGATCATGAGGTGTTGACAGATCAGTAATACACATCAGAAGACCCAAAACAAACAAACAAATGAAAAACCATATTGTTGAGAAGGAGCGGGGTCAAGACAGAGACCCAAAACCCACCTGTCAACAATGGGACATCCCCTCACAGAGGGGTCACAGGGAAGGGATGAGCCAATCGGGGTGCAGTAAAGCACCAATGAAGCACACAATATTCCTCTAGTTCGTTGAGGCTTCCTCACCCCCCACTATCATGACCCCAGTCCTGACTTTCACTGCAAGCTAGACTGGAGCATGTGCATAGGTACAGCTAAGACTGATGAGCCCCCGGCACATGGAATCCAGGGACAGGAATGGGAGTAGCAATACCAGAAGGGTAGGGGGAAGGTGAGGAGAAGAGGGGGGGAAGCGGGAACCGATTGTGATGGTTGACAAATAGTAACACACGAACCCCCTCCAGGAGGATGAACAACAGAAACTGGGAAGGGAGATGGCGGTCGGTGTAAGATATGAAAACAATAATAATTTATGATTTATTAAGGGGTCATGGGGGTGGGGATAGGGAGAGAGCGATAAAAGAGGAGCTGATACCAAGGACCCAAATAGAAAGTAATGTCTAGAAAATGATGATGGTAGCCTATGTACAAATATGCTTGATACAATTGATGTACAGGTTGTTAGAAGCGCTATAAGAGACCCCACAAAATTATTAAAAATAATAAATAAAAAGTCAGCCATGAAGGGAACCAGCCCTTCGGGTTGTTAAAATGGATTATATTGTTATTTTTGTATGCTGTCCAGCCTATTCCTCCTAATACTACCTCTACAGGATGGAGTCAGACTGTTCCATCGCTCGTCCAAGGCTTGGAGTCTTTACATAAACAGGCTGCCATGTCCTTCTCCTTCCGTTCACACCACCAGCCATCGGGCTAGCAGTTAAGTACTAAACCAGCCTGCCACCAAGGATCCTTAACATAAATTATAAAGCTTTAATAATCAAGATACTGTGGTCCTAATTTATTCTCAGATGGATCAATAGAAGATAAAAGATAACAGAGGAATGGATCCAAAGACTTACAAGAATTTAGTGTGTGATAAAAACCGGCTTCTCAATCAATGACAAAAAGAGAGAAGAGTTAACAAATGGTTTTGGACAACTGAGTAGATTGGGCGGGGTGGGGGGACTGTACCAACCCCAAGCCTTTTGTAGATTAAGGATTTTAATGTAGCATGTGAAACCATGAAGTGCTAGAAAAATCTATTGAAGAAGCCTTTTAGAAATTGTAGGGAGTAGGAAGAAAACTTCTAACTATGACTTAAACGTTGAGAACATTAATTGGGGCATGGGGGGAGAGAAAGAGACTGATTTCCCTGATTTATAATACAGAATAGACTGCCCTCCCCTCGTGGGAGTGGAAATCCTGGTTGAAACGGTGGCATGTGCAGCTACCTGACCAACACTGTGGAGAGGTGTGCAAACACACTGTATTGACCAGGGCGTAGGGAGGAGGGACAGGCGACCAGGGCGTAGGGGGGAGGGACAGGCACTTTCCTGCATGTCAGCAATATTTACCTATTATGAATGGAAGCGCCTTTTGTGTATGCAGGTCACCTCTAGAAATTTAATCTACATGGATACTTGGGTGTAGGATCATTCACTGCATTGAAAAGAAATAATTGTCAAGAACTAAACTGTGGTACATCATTTGCTGTAACTCTAGTTGGGGTTCCTTAAAAATAGCAAAGCCTCACTTGTGTCGATTAGCATTTCACTAAGTTGACGTCCTGAGTCTTAGAGCATTTCTCGGACTCTGTGCCCAGTGGCCGTCGCAGGCAGGTTGCGTCAGAATTTGGCACGAACCTCACCGCCGCTTCCATGGGCCGAGTTCCCTTTCCCAGCTCCTCTGGTTTGGGTAGGTTTGCTGCTGCCCTGTGCTTTGTGCGCCAGCCCAGTAGCTGCTTAAACGGAATTCCGTTTCACCTCGGGCACATGAACCCCTTCCTTTTGTGAAGAGCTGTATGTCAATTTTCCCCTAATAAATTAAGAGGAATCCCTTCTGTTCGGATGGGAACGGAGATACAAGATACACTAACTCAGCAGTTCTCAACCTGTGGGTTGCAACCCCTTTAAGGGTCGAACGACCCTTTCACAGGGGTCGCCCGATTCATAACTGTAGCAAAATGACAGCAATGAAGTAACAACGAAAATAATTTTATGGTTGTGGGGTCACCACAACGTGAGGAATTGCATTAACGGGTTGGGAACCACTGCACTAAATGAAAAAAAGCAAGCTACAGAACGATACGTGTGGTGTACGACATTGTGGGGAAATATACGTGTGATTGTGTACTCTTACTGATATACATAAAGTATATGTATGCGTGCATTTGCTCATGTAATCGCCACATCCAACAAGCACAGCCTACAGGATGTAGTCGGAAGGCAACTTTATGTTTGACCCTTTATGTTTGTCTTTAGTTTGACTCGCGTTCCTCTGCGCCCACAGGAAAACATGAGCAGTCCCCACTCTTTGAGGCAGTCATTTACTCAGTCACTCTCAATCGGAAAAGACTCTTTCCGTTCAGGAACCACACATTTGAATCTTCAGTCTGGTGATAGGCATCGTGACTCCTCACCGTACGGCTACGTCTGGGTCTTCATAAATGTGTGGTGGCTGTGTAAGACGTTTATCAGGGAAGCTAAGTGAAGGCGGGACGCACTGGCTGGCGAGGCAATTGGCACACTTGGCTGCCAGCCACAAGGCTGGAAAGTAAGTCTAATTCAAAGGCACCTTTCACACAGGGCCTAGAGATCTACTTCCGAAACTCATCATCCCTTGGACACCCTATAAAGCCCAGTTCTACTCTGACCCACAGAGGGTCATCCTGCGTCAGAATTTACTTGATGACCACTAATTTGGTTTTGGGTTTAGTGAGGGGAATGCAGGAACTCTGTAATAGCTTGGAAGTTTTTCTCTCAACCTACAAGTAGTCCCAATTTAAAGTTTATTTTTCATAATGGGCAACTCCCAGCCTTTTTTATACTCTGTTTGGGGGAAGGGTTTAATCATCATTTACATTATTTTCTCCACTATCTTTAGGAGAGCCTTGTATGGTGAGGTTTGGCATCTTATTTTAGATTATAATTTTTATTATCCTTAAGGTTCAGCTGCAACTTCCATTTAAATTTCCTGCTACATCACATATACTAAGAAAAAAAAAAAGTCTCTTGAATGCCTGGCCAGGTTTACGGGCAGTCTCTCATTGTTGATAGCATTGCACCTTTCACACTTGGAACCGTGTGACTGCGTGATCCCCTTCAAACCCCTTAATTCAGCAGAACAAACCCCCCTGAGTGTACTGCCCTGCTCCTGAATGTCTATTCAGCGATCCGGGGACTGACTGTTTCTGTCATCTTGGGACTTGCTGGGAACGATTCTCCATAGGGTCTATGTTGAGGATCACCGGGAATTTCAGGAAGGCTCAGCCCCACTGAGCAATGCAAGGTTTACATTTGGCTTTTCCTTTCCTCCATCCTCATACATTTCACAAAATGCATGGTGGGTGGGTGACTGCCTAGGGCTGGGGGGATTTCTACTGGGTCGGAAAGAAAGACCAGGGCCTTGTGATGGTAGTTGTAGCCCATTAAGATTCATTAAGACAAAAAAGGCGCCTTGATGGCGCGACGGTTAAAGCGCTCAGCTGCCAGCCAAATGGTCAGCGTGCAAACCCAGCAGTGGCTCCGAGGGAGAATGATGCGGCTGTCTGCTTCTGCCAGCACCCTGGGAGTTAGCATGAGTTGGCAGCAGCAGTACAGGGTTAAAAAGGAAAGCCAGAAAGAGCTCCCTTGCCTCCCGTTAGGAAAAACCAAGCCAACCCACTGCCATGGAGCCACTTCCGACTCACAGCGACCCGCTAGGGCAGAGTCAAACTGCTGCATAGAGTTCCCAAGAGTGTGGCGATTTATGGGAGCTGACAGCCTCATCTCTCTGAGGGCAGGTGGGTTTGAACCGATGACCTTGCTGTTAGCAGCCCGACATCCAGCCCACACCACCGCCAGGGCTCCTTTAACCCAGCTTCGTCCACACACTCATGACGCGTGATCTCTGCTCTCACGCAGCAGCCTGAGAGGCCTTCTTGAGAGGAAACAAGGAGCCCTGGGGGCGACGGGGCTGCACATCAGTCTGCTCACTGCAAGGTCAGGAGTTAGAAATTGCCACCTGCTCCTTGGGAGAGAGGCCTTTCTACTCCCGTAAAGAGTTACCATCTCGGAAACTCTCAGAGCCAGTTTCCCCCTGTCATGTAGGGTCACGAGGAGTGGGCACGGATGGCAGTGAGTGGGGGGAGGAGGAGGAGAAGAGGATACAATGTGGAAACAGCATGTATTTATCATAGATACAGGTTCTGGCTGATTTCAGCCAAGTCCTAAAACTTCCGTAAGGACGTGTAGTGTGTGTGTGTCTTTTTTTGGAAGTATAATTTTCATGTTGCTGTTAGTAAGTGTCTGGGAAGGACCAAGACATGAGAGTGAAGTTTATCACACCCTAAGTTTAGCTTTTTGGTGTCTATTGGTCTCCAGAGCAGCCCTGGCAGGGCAGTGGTTAAGGTTCAACTGCTAACTGCGAAGTTCAAAGTCCAGACTCAACAGCCACACCCTTGGAGAAAGATGCGGCAGTCTGCTTCCATGAGGAGGACGTGCCACCAGGCAGGGCCACGCTGTCCTGTGGGGGAAGAGCGGGGAGGATGGGGGGGCCTATGAGTTGCAATTGACCCAACAGCACTGTGTGATTTAGGTTTGTTTTGTTTTTTAATTGGCCATGGGGCGAGTTAGCTGGACGAGGGTAGTTCCCAGGCTTGCTAGGCTATGAACAGGATGGGGCTAAATCCCTTTGACTAGCACAGATCGTATGCTGTCTTGGTTGTGAAGAAATGTAAGCAAATATCTTTGCCGTCTATTCTTTTCTTTTCAGCAAGTCTTTCCCCTTGTTTAACCGATGCATCCCTCAAACGCCTGAATGCTATTCCCTATTTGCGTCTGTTTTGATCAATGACGTTGACACCCTGCATCGGATTCTAAGTGGAATCATGTCAGGAAGAAACACAGTCCTGGGCTTGTGTGTCCTCGCACTAGGTAATGTTCCGTTCATTTTACTTCGGTAACTGTGGAGTGCCAAAGCTCCTAGCATGTGCATGCACGTTTCACATTGAAGAGTAACCTTGTGACTTGAGTAGAAGGCTGCACTTCATATTTATTTTGCATATGTTTTCCCAAGGATGTCAGATTCCGGTTGGTGCCGGCAGGGGGGTAGGAGAGGCCTAGCTTGTTCTCTGCAGAGCGCTCCATGGTGGGCGGGCCTTGCCTTCTTCCTATGGTGGCCACGCCCCAGCATCTGGTCCTCTGTGGACACAAGGGATGGCTGTGTAAAGGTCACTGCCATCTGGAAATGGGAAGTAGACTCGCCAGCGCGACCTGAACTGTCTGTTTTCTGACGAGTGGGCTCTCTTCCTGCAAACTATGAGTCCAGTCAGCAGACTGCTTGGTGAGCTAGAGGAGCTGTGTGCCTCTCACGCGCAATAGCCTGACGCCACCCCTCTTCAAAGGGACGTGCCTGCTTTGTGGTATGGGGCAGCCTGAATCTGAGCCCAGACATGCCTCCTCTGGGCCTTTCTGGATGCAGCTACCAACTGCTGGTCCTTTGGCTTTTCAGCTTCTGTGTTCAGATTGATGCGTCCCATTAAGATCAGACCTTCTCTTTGAGCAAAGGCAAAAGTAATGGCCTTTCATAATCCCCTTCTCCAGTGGCCGCCTCCTGACCTATTGACCGGTGGAACTCTTGCTCATTCATTAACACACTTTTGCCAGTTTACAAATTGAGCTTTCCATAATTTCATTGCCAAAAAGGTTACTAGTTCCTGAGGGCTTGGGGATACTCTACTGTGCACATTATGTGACTTCCAGACTTCCTACTTCCGCTGGGAAGGACTTCAGGTGACTCAAATAGGATGCTTTGACTTCCAGATACTGGTGTGGTGACCACATCATACCAAAATCTAGAGGCTCATTCTGCCGTACCATAGGGTGACCTAATGTCCTCACCAGGACATGACGTTTGCACTCATATTAACAGTATGTATGGGATTCGAGAGGGTGTGAACAACTACCATTTACCGAGCACTTCTCGTGCACCAAGCACTGTGCTTATCCTTATCCATAAAGCCTCACCAGCACTGTGTCCTGCATGCTGCAGGGAATTCCAACTCACAACGACCCTGTTGAACGGAGTAGAACTGCCTCGGGGGGCTTCCCAGACCAAAACCTTTGTGGAAGTCAGTCACCAGGTCTTTTCTTCCACGAAGCTAAGGGGTGCAAACCACTAAGCTTTCAATGAGCTGCCGATTGCTTTACCATTGCGCCACCCGGCTGCGATCCTGAAGCTCAGCAGTTCGAAACCACCAGGTCCTCCCAAGGAGCAATGAGGTTTTCTACACCGTGAAGAGTTAGTCTCAGAACCACCAGGCAGTTCTAGTCTGTCTATAGGGGTGTGGTGAGTCAGAACAGACTCGGTGACAGTGAATTGTGAACATTTCACATTTAATGCAAATATCTGAGAAAATTTACAGTTAGAAGTTGACATAAGCCCAGTGTGAGGATGAAAGAGTGAAGTGTGACAACTTTTTTAAAATGGTCATTTGGAGTTGTAAAAGATTTTAGTACATAGGAATAATTCTCATTTCTCTCTCTCTCTCGCTCTCGCTCTCCTTTACAGAAATCACTGTTAGAAACTGGTCTGGTTTACTCTAGCGGCTTCACGCACATGTTTCAGAGAGGGCCTGGATATAAGTTGTCTTGGGTTTGATGTTTGGTAGATATCCCAAAGGACTTGGAGATTGATAAGCTTCAACCTCGCCCTTACATTCTTTGCTATTTGGGGGTTTATTCGTTTTGTTTTTCAGCCTTGTCTCTGGCCATGATGTTCACTTTCCGATTCATCTCCACCCTTCTGGTCCACATTTTTATTGCCCTGGTTATTTTGGGGTTATTGTGTAAGTATTTCTACATGATCATTCTCTTCTTGATTCAGTGAAAAGTCTTTCTATTAAGAATAGAACTTTCTGAACTAAACAGAGTCTTCGAGCATGCCTCGTCCAACCCTAGTATGTGGCCTATGAGAAAACTCAGGCTCAGAGAGGACAATGGGAGCTGTTATGGCTCAGCTAATAGCAAAATTAATGCTCAGTCTGTCATTTCTACTCCCCCACCCATGCCACGTCTGAGATGAGCCTCTGACGGATGGCCCTGGTGCCCCTGACATGAAGTGGCATGCCAGTGCCTGGTGGAAGCATTCTAGAGGATTTCTTCTGTGCCTGTACACCACCCATTAGCATGGCCATGGGTTTCCACAATTGTCAAAGGCACCAACCAGTCTGAGGAAACAGGCCTCGCACTGAACTCTCTTCTGTGCCCATTATTTCTTTTTGAGTGCGTGTGGTTTGTCCAAGAGCCTGGCAGGGTCTGAGGGGCAGGGGCATTCAGGAGGCTGCAAGCAGCAACTACTCATCTATCAAAATGGATGGCACAGTTAGGGACTCGACTGCTAACCAAGGTTGGCTGTTCAAAAGCACTCAGAGGCAATCTGCTTCCAAAAGGTCCCAGTCTTGAGAACCTATGGACCAGAGTTCTATCGGACACACACACAGGCAGCCAAAGTAGGAATTGACTTGTTGGCAACCGATTCCGTTAGTACAGACTATTATAATACATCATGACTGGTATGTAGGAGCCCTGGTAGGATAGTGGTTAAAATGCTTGGCTGCTAACCAAAGGATCAGCGGTTCCACGGCAGAAAGATGTGGCAGTGTGCTTCTGTAAAGACTCACAGCCTTGGAAACCCTACGGGGCAGGAGTACTCAGTTCCACAGGTAGCTATGAGTTGGCGGCGTTGACGCAACTGCCACGGGTTTGCTTTTGATGTGCGATCAGTGTTCCGTTCTCCCCAGTAATCAGCTCTGCCCTTCGTAGCCTAGAGCCCCGCAGCTCACCAGGGACACAACTGTGCCCAGCGCTGCAGCACAGGCGTGATGATCCCTGTGAGCAATGCGTTCTCCATGTCAGGTTAGTGCAGGCCACAGTGGCCTTCCTGCAGCTACTGTGGATGTGTCACAGAGAACTGACAACAGCAAAGAATCCTGGGAACAAACCTCCAACTTTGGTTTTGGGGGTGGAGAAGCCGATACTAGGCTGCCGTGGTGCGTCATCCCCAGCAGGGGTGGTTTGAGAAGTCTAGACAGAGGACTCTGATCACTTCCGGGCAGTTTCCTCTCTGCTCACACCCACACTGCTGGGAAGTACCACTGTTCTGGGATCAACCCGACCCCCCCCCCCGGAGTCCCCCAAAGAAATACAGGAGCTGCAGGACTGGCAGGGCTGCGCTGACCCTGCCCAGCCCCTCCTGAGGTACAGGTGTTGCCCAGGGAGCTAGCAGCCACTGCTTGAGCAGGGCTGCTGAGCTGACAGCAGTGGCTAGACTTGGTGTGTGTGTGTGTGTGTGTGTGTGTGTGTGTGTCCATGTGCATGTATGTGTGTATCTGCATGTGTATGTGTATGTATGTGTGTGTATGTGTGTG